ATTTTGTGTAGTGGGTATATTTTCAAGGGTTGGACTGGTTTGAGTACCGCTAGTTTTCAAGATTTTGGATATTGGCGTCGGTTCGCAGGCCTTATTAATGCTCGATAAGTAGTGTTCCTCTAATTGTAAAACCTTGTTCGTTATCAAATTAACCCTATCTAAGAATTCAGTTTTGAACGCCAAAAATTGTTCAATAAGCAGTGTATTAATTTTGGTCATTAGCTGTGCTTCGAAATCAATTTGCAGGTTTTTTAACATGTGTTTTTTTTGTTTACATGGTTTTTTAACATTATGTTACATATCCGTGGTGTAAACATATGTATTATTTTTTGTTACTTATTGCCAACGCTATTAAATATTATGATATGAAACATTTTAACTTTGCTCACTTCGATAATGTGTAAGTGAGCGATCCAAAATTATATCAAAAGTTTTTCCGCGAAATGATCTTTTATATTCACCTAAATATTCATACTTCAGGTTATTAATTTAGGGGGATGCCTGTACGGCCCTTTTTAAAAATTATTATTATTTTACTTTAAAATCTGTGACTTTTTTAAGGAAAATAAAACTTAATTTCTTTCAATGTTTGTTTAGTACAATGTCTTTAAAAAGTAAATGTTGTATGTATTTTTCTTTTTGTCAATCCATTTATGAAACAATCAACGAGGCAGTCATTACTTGATCAGTGTCAAGAAGCTTATAAATCGCGATTTCGTTCTAAACTTATGTTATCAGCATTATCCTCTTTTACTCATGAACATTCAACGCTACAAATGTGGCGGCTTCTCATCTTTTGTTGGATAGAAGCTTCACTAGTTTTGATTAAAAGGTATGTCCAAGTCTCATACCAGGGAAGCATCCTGATATACATTATGCTGTACTAAGATACACTAAACAGCTAATAAGCGGCGTTCTTTTGGTCTTTAAGTTATTGTGTGTGACACCAACTTACCATTTTTTAGATAAAGAATTTTATCATTATTATTATTATATTAACAGGCAGGCAGTTGAGACAACCGATAATGCTTATATCCTGGTTTTGTCCACTAGTTACTCTTTTTGCAGTTCAGAAAGTGATTATCTAATCTATTTTTGAATTGGTTCACGTTTTGAGCTGAGACTACGTTCTCTGGAAGCTTATTCCACTCGGTGACTACACGGTTACAAATGAAGTGCTTGTGGGGGTTGCTGTTTGTAAAGCTGGTATGTAGCTTAAGATTTCTCTAAACAATATCTCAAACTCCTCGATGTCGTAATGCCCATTTAAGATCTTAAAGGTCTCAATTAGATCTCCTCGGTCCCTGCGGCTTTTTAATGTTGTAAGTTTTAAAACTTTCAAACATTCTTCATAAGACTGCTGTTTCAATAGCCGTGGTACTTTAGTGAAGCTACGCTGTACTTTCTGACAAAATATTTCAAATTGAACTGGTTGCTAAAACTTATTAGAGGGAAATTTGGCGCACAGAATAACCTTTATCTCCCCTTAGCAGCTCCTTAAAATCGTGTGCTCGGCTTCTAATCAGTGGTGTCATTAGTTACTCCTTACTCCAACTTCAAACTGGTTGGTCATCAGAATCGTCACTTACGGTTTTCATTTTCACTGTAAGCCTGTTGGTGCATTTAGTGTCACTTCTTAACGATATAACTGATTGATGTCATAAATTCCATGTTTTGAGTTGTTTTCAGGACGATGCTGCTAATGGATCAAAGTTACTCATATTTAATATAATTTTATTATAAGTGTTGTCTTAGTATCTATAAAGTAAACACAAAATATTAAACTGTTAGACGCGTGGTCTTGGTACTTTACAATAAAATAATCAGCCAAAATACGCATGACAAAATAAAATTATGTGTAGTAACCTAATCTCACACACACCTAAACTTTAAACAGCACCCTGCTGCCCCTCACAATTGCAAGCTGCCAACACTTAATCCAACCTAATCACACTCAAACCTTAACCGATAATACAACGCGTATTTTCATTTTATGAAAAGTGTCATCAGAAGATATTTTCTAGAAAGCCAGTTAGCAAATATTACTTACAAGATTTTATTTCTAGATTCCTAGAAGTACTCACCGCGTTCACCTTGTTGTTCCTTGTTCTCTCTCAACAGTCTCTAAAACTGGGTATATTCGGGATGAATTTTTCTGTCACGGTCGGTGGCTTGACCGTCAATCAACATGATGTTAATGCGCGCGGGTAACAACAGTACACATAAAGATACAAGACCGATAAAATGTTTATACAAACATGACAGTCGGATTAGAATATCGACAGCTAACAAATAGGTGTGTTTGATCCTGATTGTGAAATATATACAAAGTTCATAAAATTAAAACACTATATTATGTAATATATTAGGTTGAACCTTTTTAGATAGTCACACAAATAATAAATAATATATTATTTTAATTGCATTACTATTTATTATGGCCGGCTTCTATATCTACACATGTAATTAACGAATAGAAATCTTTTGGTGCAGTCAAAATATATAAAGAAAATACAGCAGGAACAATAAATATAGTTTTTTAAAAGTTATGGTTAACATAAGAATGACAAATGAGATAGTATTCTACCTGTAACAGTGGTCACTGCAGCCTCTAGAGGACTATATATGAATTGTCTGGCAGCCTGCAATAGTAACAGTTCAGACTGAGATATAAAAGTGAATGTACTGCTGCTTACCTAGCGCCAGAAATAGGTAAGATAAAAAACACAAGTCTGATCGGTATTGGAATATTGCTGTTATATTTGGGCTGGTGATAAGCTTTGGACTAAATGGAAAGGCGTGCTAAGGGGCTTATTGATGACACCAATCTGGTTAAAACTAATCTCACCAGTCTCGAACACAGGCGTAAAGTAGCCAGCCTTTCGGTTTTCTACAGGATGCATTTCGGAAACTGTGTGCAGGAATTGCATAACGTTTCCTCCCTTTCACTTCCACAATCGGATTATCAGGCGCTCGGCCCTTGAACTCGACCTTTTCGTTGTCTTCATACTATGCATACCAAACGGTTTGATTCATAGTTCCTCGTGCGTACAGGAAAGTAGTGGAATAAGTTGCCAGCATTTGTCTTTCCATCCGATTAGAATGTGGGCTTCTTTAAGGCAAGAGTGAATAGACTTTTAGTCAGTGCGCGTTACCATCTTCAGCTGCATCATCACTTACCATCAGTGGGATAGTAGTCAAGCGCTAGCTTAGAAACCTTTCCAGAAGGGCTCGTAAGTTGAAAAGGAGGCTTAAAACAATAGAATCATTTTTTCGGTTTTGGTTCGTGAAAAACCTCAGTCTTTTGACGATATATAGATATACCAGGAAGAATTTAGACAATTGTTATGAAAACATTTATAAACATGATGGTAGCGATCATCTCATTCCCAGGGGTTATTATTAATCCTAAAATAAAACTTATAAAACCTACTATTTAGTAGTATAATAAACCCTTACTAAACAATTTTTGTTTAGTGAATAATTTAAACATTTTGATAAAAAAAGGTCTGTATATTTTCTGGTACTTTGTTGTAAAAGGGTGTAAATTTCCCCATGAAGGAAATACTGACCTCCTTGGAGTCGAGTAACTGGTATAAATAACTTTTGCTTGTTCCTAGTATTTAGAAAATGTACATCACTATTTTAATAAAACTATTTTTGTTTTTGTGTACATACATTAAATTCTAGTAAATGTATTGAGAGGCCAAAGTTAATATATATATTTCTTTATAATTTTCTCTAAGACTACTTCAGACCTAGGTTTTAAATTGCTTTTAGTAGCACTAGTGTACTCTTAGCATTGGTTAAGTGAATATCTATCTGTTTCTGTGTATATGTGTAAGCATTTTTTATGTTACTGGCCAAATTTTATTGAGGTTTTCCCCTTTTTCTGGAACCCGGGAAAAAGTAAAAGCAAATTAGTGTTCTAATTGTCTGATTAATCCATTTTTTTATAGCAGTTGCAACAAAAAATAGCAAAGTTCAATGACATAACAACAGGACTATTTAGAATAATTTTGTTGTTTTGTATCATTTCAAAGATATGTAATGTTTGAGTGCTTTGCAGGCATCATACTAATCCAAGGTCTAGTACCTACTACTGAAATGTTATATTTGAGGGTTCTATATAAACTGACTCTTTTTAAATCCATATTAGGCGTACTTACCACGAAAAGAATATGAAAAATTTTGATATATTACTAGTAAAACTAGTATATAATATTTAAAAAAAACATTTATAGGTAAGTAATTGTACCTAAACTTAATAGTGTACTCTTGTAATTTTTTCCATAAGTTTTTTTAGAAATAATACAACACTACCAAAACTTAAAACGTGATATTTTTGATAGAAATAAGTCTTTGAACATTTATGCAGTTATAAACTCAACTTAAGTATTTTGGCGTTTATTATAAGTTAGTTAGTAAAGTTAAAAAAAAATTAAAAAAAAGTTACAGCTTATATATATCCCATAGGTACAGGCCTCCTCTCATTTCTGATTTCCGGCTGCCCGATTGCGTGTTAGTGAACCACACATGTCTTCGAATTTTTTTTTATTTCTCAGACATGCAGGTTTCTTCACGATCTTTTCCTTCACCGCCAAGCACGCACTTAAAATTGCAATGAACAATTACATTGGTGCCGGTGGAGATCGAACCTGCGTTGTTGGCGTACTGTGTAATTTACAGCGAGCACTTAGCTTCTGAACTACCAGGACTCCCTTATCAGGGTTTAGTTTATCATAATCTCAAGGTATTTTATACAGTATATAAGATGGTTGCTGAAAAACATCGTTACATCGTGTATCATAGCTGTCACCATGAGGTATGTTCTGAAAATATATTTTCTTGATTAAGTAAAACTTGTAGCATATTATTAAAAAACGAAACGGGCATGTGTTTTTATCATTACCATTCTATTCGATTTATTTCTGCGCCACTAAAACTTTTTAAGTTGATTTTAATAAGATTGTTTTAAAATATTTTTTTCCAGGATTAAGATGAGAAACTTATTTATTTTACCATTGTTATTTTTTCTCGTGCAAACAACAAAACAGTCTAAAGACTTAGATTGGTGGGAAACTACTATATTTTATCAAATTTATCCAAGATCCTTTATGGATAGCGATGGCGATGGAATCGGAGACCTGAACGGTAGATAAAAATGATTAAATTCTAAACTTAATTGTTATGTAATACAAAGTGTAAGAACAACAACATAATATATTCTCTTTGCATATTTTGATTTTAGGTATAACATCTAAATTAGAATATCTGAAAGAACTCGGTGTAGGCGCGACATGGTTATCACCGATGTTTAAATCACCGATGTATGATTTTGGTTATGATATTGCTGATTTTTATGACGTTCACGATGAATATGGCACAATGGAAGACTTTGAAAAGTTGATTGCTAAAGCCAATGAATTAGGTAATAATTCATAATTTTAATGCCACTCCATCTTAGTTGAATTTTTAGAATAACTGCTAAAAGATTACTTTCAACTTTTTGAATATTAATAAACAAATTACTGAAAACACTTCTAAATCCAATTACAAGGTCTTAATTTAATATTTATAAATTATCATTTATTTCAATAAACAGCGCAAGTTGCACAAGCAATTAACAACTACACAGATTCACTGTTTCAATAATTACGAAAAGTAAAAGTGGTTTTATTAAAATTAAAATTATGTCAAAGTATTGTAAAAATATGTAGTTTTTTATTTTATGTATGAATTCCAAACAGTCTACTTTTCTTGCAGATATTAAAATAGTCCTCGATTTTGTACCTAACCATGGAAGTAATGAAAGTGTTTGGTTTGAAGAAGCGCTAAGGGGACATGAAAAGTATTTCGATTATTTCGTATGGGAAGATGGAGTTGTTGACGAGAACGGAATATTACGTCCACCAAATAATTGGGTATAATTTTCTAATCAGATTTTAGCCGATATATTTAGAGTATTTTAAAAATCCTAAATTATATATTATTTACTACAATTTCAATAAATTGCATGAAAATAAAATTATGGGTACGTTTGAGAACCCATCACCCTATTCTTTGCGAGGAATCAGTATGTATAATCATATTACTTAGAACGTTAAACTACATAGCTGGGGCAATCATGGCAAATAGTTTTTGCTACGGAAGAGGTGAACGTATAGCTTTGGACTTTTATATAGTTATGTTTTCTTCTTACAGAACAGCGTATTTCGAAAAAGCGCCTGGGAATATCGGGAGGAAGTTGGAAAGTACTATTTACATCAATTTGTCATTGGTCAGCCAGATTTAAACTACCGTAATCCAGATGTAGTAGAAGAAATGAAAAATGTTCTGAAATTTTGGTTGGACAAAGGCGTTGCAGGTTTTAGAGTAGACGCTATATCACATTTGTTTGAAGTAGATAAAGCAAAATTTGATGGTATGTATCCCGACGAGCCGTTATCAGGAAATAAAATTGAAGATCCTGAAAGTTATGATTATTTAGATCATATTTACACAAAAGATCAAGACGAGACATATGACATGGTTTATCAATGGAGGGATATTTTTGATGAATATAAAGCAAAAGATGGTCTAACAAGAGTTATGATGACTGAAGTTTACGCAAGCCCTGATGTCACTATGAGATATTTTGGTGATGGTGAACGTGAGGGTGCTCAAATGCCTTTTAACTTTGTCTTAATAACTGATGTTGATGGATCATCGTCAGCCGCCGAAATAAAATACGCTATTGATAAATTCCTTACATTTAAACCTATTGACAAATTGGCTAATTGGGTGGTACGTACCTTTTAAAGATTAATTGAGATTACACTATTTTGATTATTATATTTGATTAAGGTATTATAACTACAGAGCATTTTGTTTTCTTAGGCTGGAAATCACGACAATAGCAGAGTTGCTTCAAGATTCAGTCCTGAATTAGTCGATGGAATTAATATGCTTGTACTTTTATTGCCAGGTGTGGCAGTAACATACATGGTAAGATATTTGTAAATATAGTAATTAATAGTTTTTTTTTTTTAATAAAACGTTATCGTGTGACGGTATCGTGGGGGCAGTTTATATACATAAATTTCAAAAGGACAAACATCCACACCAGGAACAATTGTTTGTAGGCCATACAAATATTTGTTCCGCGCGGCATTCGAACCCGCTGCAACTCATTGCCACTGCGCCATAGAGCCGTCAAATACGTAATACTCGTAGTAACCATAAATATCGCTTGTAAAAATTATCATAAATTAATTTTGAAAAGATATCACAAGAGATAGGGACTCGCTTTATTATATATTTAAATATACTACACCACATGCAGTTGGTATTACTAATTTAATACACTTTGTTTTTTAATATTTAGAAATGGTCTTTGTTTGTAAGTAACCTAATTTAACTCTCTCTTGAACGATTTACTTCACAATGGGTCACAGCTTTTCCACTAAGCTTAAATGAATTAACAAATGTACTACTAAATTAAAAGACCAGTCAAAATTTAAATAAATTTTCATCTTATATCCTTGTCCTTTTTCTACTTTACCGATGTGTATTAAACTTTGCACACAGTTGTTTAAGTAATGAGTTTTTAAATGATTCTAAATAATTTAAAGGTGCACAATGCTTCAAAATATTGCTTCATATTAAAATAACTTGATGACAGTAAGACGGTGGAGTAAAATAACAATATATGTGACATAAAAGGGCTAAAAATTACTATCCGCGGTAATGCAAATTCGTTTGTCCTCGCTGAATAACATACTTAGCCTTTGGGCGAGAAAAGAACCAGCCCTATTATCTCCAGCGCTGACGAATAAATATTGAATTCATCGGGTACCTCATGAAACTCCGTTTCGTTAACCTTTAGAATGTTAACCTTTTCTGAGAGGAAAATTTAAAGTACGAGATTATATCATTGCATTTATTATAGGGTGAAGAAATAGGAATGGTGGATGGTTATATAAGCTGGGAAGATACAGTTGACCCAAGTGGATGTAATACGGACGACCCTATAAATTACTGGACTGCCTCCAGAGATCCCGAAAGAACACCTTTTCAATGGAACGCGCAGAAAAACGCAGGTATTTATAAATGTGAATTATTCGATATATTTTTTTAGATTAAGGGTGACAAACGAACACACAGTCCACCTAATGTTAAGTGGATGCTACGGCCCATAGGCAACTACAGCTCTCCTCGTATAAAATCAAAATACAGATACATTGTTACTCCTGAGGTCTAAGATGGAATGCCTTATTTCCAGTGAAAAGGCTCTCCGGTTCTCAACACTCACTATACGAAACACACCAGCAGCATTAGGTTGATACTACTACTATACGTGGTAGAGCCATGCTGCATTTATATTATGGTTGTAGCACGAATGGGTCGGCTCGACCGGGGAAGGACCACGCTCTCACAGAATACCAGCGTAAAATATCACCTTAACGCTGCTGTGTTTCGTATGGTGAGTGTAGAGAACCGGAACCTTTTACTGGAAACGAGGCATTCCATCTTAGTCCTCACGGGTGACAACGCATCTGCATTTTGACTCTTAATCGAAGATAGATGTGGATGTCTATGGGCCACAGCGACCACTTACCATAAGGTGGACTGTGTGCTCGTTTGTCACAGTTATCCTATAAAAAAAAAGATATCCTGTGAGACTAAGATCCTTCACCGGTCAAACCGATCCGTTCGTGCTGCAACCACAATATAGCTGTAACATTGCTCTACCATGTTTAACTTACAAAATTATTATATTCTCCTTAAAATTTTGTACTAACAATTTATGTTTTAATTAGTTTGTACTAACAATTTATGGTTTAATTAGTTCGACAAGACTAGTTACAGAAAAATGTTTTAAAATGTTGCTTAATTGCTTTGAAGAGCTTGTGTATTGTTAATTGTTAAAAATTGTTCTGTTTTAAAATTTACTATCGGGAATATAAATTTATGTTACATTTTTATGGTATCAATTTTCACGTCCGGCTAAAACGTTTATTGCGGCCACACAGGAATCTAGAAATGTTACACGTTCTAGTATGTTTTAAACATCGTATAATTAGATATCTAGCAACTTAATCTAAAAACTAATATTTAGGTCATTTAAAAACTGAAAATGTAGTTTTGATATGCTAAGTCTATATTGTTCATGCTAAAATTATGTGTAATATGATTAATGGATCTTTTTATTATATAAAAATATTTGTGCTTTTCGTGCTGCAAACATATTATAGCTGCACTCAACCACGTATGAAGTTAAATATATGACACTATAAGATTTATATATTCAATAACCATTCGTATTGATATATTAATAGACGTGTAGTGGCGGCGCCATCCATATCCAACACCCTATCTCGTCCCTTGGTCGTCGTGAGAGCGGGCTGTCAAAATGTCACAATGTCGACATACAGCGGCGTCAAAGTTGCAAAACGTATAGTAATGCAATATCTAATCCACCTGCAAAACGTGGCGATAAAGGCAAACTCTCCTTACAAAAGGAGAAGAAGATAATAAAAAGATGCTTGATAATCATGCATGTAGATTTTCAATTATTTTTATAACAGACTATCAAAATTCCGCTGCTGGACATAAACCACCACTACAGATTGCTTCGCCGTAGTTACAACGCTTGGCAGATGGGATGAGAACCGTAGTTTTTTTTTTATTATTTCCAATTGTAATATCTAATATATAAAATTTAATTTTCATTTGTTCATATTTTATGCGCCGCCATACCATTCATCAGATTGCGCTAAAACTTTTTCAGCTTATTACTTGCACTTGCGCGAAGGTTATAGGCATAACTTACAATACATGGCACGCGTATCGCAACAAAAATTTATTTAATAGTTATATATAATTAAATTTCAATAAATGTATTATATGATTTTTCCAAATTTAAAACAATAATTATTTATCATGGCACATTTATATATTTAATGTATTTAAGTAGATTTATATATTTGTGTACGTCTGTATTAATATATTTACATTTGTATGATATATGTACAGAATACCTTCTGTATATATTCTGATTTATTCGAGCTTTGTTACCTATTTTTCTCATTATCAGTTTACTTTTGCTGCACTACCTCCCATATACCCTCCCATATTTATCTCTGCTAATTCTAATGGTTGACTGGGAGAGAATGTCTTAAGGCATTAAGTCCGCCATATGTACGATTTTTCTTTTGTGCATAAAAGTTTAAATAAATAAATAAATATTTCTACAATAATTTCTTCTGCGGTAGCAACGCACCGGGACCAAGCTAGTAAGAAATAAAAACTAAATAAAACACGATGTTACAGGATTCTCGTCAGCTGATAAGACATGGCTTCCTGTAGCTGATGGTTACGAAACTCTTAATGTTGAAGTTCAACAAGCAACAGAAAGGAGTCATATAAATGTTTATAAAGCCTTGGCTCGGCTACGAACTGAACCAGCATTTAGACATGGCAGATACGAATCCGTCGCGTTTAATTCCGATGTATTGGCATTTAAAAGGTTTGTTGATTCTGGTGGTTTCATGCTAATATAAAATTAAACAGAAGATGAATTATTAATATGACAGATAATGTTTTTTTCGTAACAAAAATGGTAGATTTTAGATTTTGTAATTGAGATATAAATCAATAATCTACTTTCTTATACAACCATGATATGTTTGATTTCAATTCATGTTTCCTGGCTATTACATTGAAAGATACGATTACATTTTGTAATACAGTTTTGGTTTATCTATTAAAGAGATAAAGACATCTCTAAAGTGTATATTTGTGTATATAACAACTTAATCCTTAAAATACGATACCTTGACAGCAAACTGATATGATCTTTTTATCATATAAAATTTTTGCATCTTATTGGATAGCAATTTACTAAGACTTTTTTCACGCCTGAAAGTCATTTAGGGCTGGTACAACTCTTACCTATTTCTGCCACCAAGCTACCGTGCACCCTCTGCTGTATTTCAGTTTGATGGATAGAGAATCAGCTTGATTATAAAGATAACGCACCTGTGGCTATCTGTCTGCTAATCAAGTGGATTTTTAAATAAAAATTCAATGTTCTATTTTAGGTGGCATAATGGCGAAACCTACGTAGCGGTGATTAATTTCAGAGATGAAGTTTACAATTTAGATTTGACCTACTTCGAAAATGTCACAGGGCAGTTAGAAGTCATCGTTAGCAGCGTTCAGTCGCCCAAGAGTTCTGGGTAAATATAGTTTTGTACATTAATTTAAGTTCTGTAAATGTATATTTTATTTACATTAAAAGGTTCATGAAGGTTATATTAGAATGTAACTATTATGAATAATTCAGACTAATTCTCCCACATACGACATTTTGCCAGTAAGGAGGAAAGATAATTATTATAGTCTCCCCTCTAGACAATAATAAAAATATTAAATTAAAAAAGAAAAAATTTCGAAGGCATATGAAGTCTGCTATCACGCATTGGGACAGCACGGTGGATACTTCTTAAATACCTCCTCAGAAATGAGGAGAGGCCTTTGCCCAGTTGTGGGAAATAATAGGGTATAACTTTACTTAATTTGTGGTAAAGGTATTAATTAAGAAGTACAATGGAATGTGATGAAATGAACACAGCTAAAAACTGTTGTTGCTCTTAGAATTTAATAATTATATATATATCTTTGTTATCAGGGATGTTGTAGAGGCTGATGGTGTACAAATTGAAGCACGCGAGTCCATAGTCTTGAAGGTTGTTCAATAAGAAAATAGACTGAATTAACAACAATAATGTTTGTTTTACTGCTCAATTATTATTTTATTTATGTAACATAAATTGAATGAACTATGTCATGGCCTTATTATTTCAAGTTAATTTTAAGCATTTCCAGAATTAAATTTTAAGAAAATAAATACAGTTATTTTAATAGAATCTAACCATCCACACTGCAGTTATATTATCGTTGAAGCAGGAATTGGCCAGCTCGATAGGGAAAAGACCACGCTTCCACAGAATACGTAAAATAGCAGTTTGTTTGTTGTGTGTTGTTGTTTTGTATGGTGGCATTAGAGAAACTGAAACACTTCTCACTGCAAATCCATCTTAGTCTTCCAAAACGCATTTTGATTCTTTATCGAAGATTTTTATTATAGAACGAGGCCATGTACATAAGTAGATGGCCTCGTCTATACAAATAAATAAAATTGAAGTGTCTGTTTGTAATGTCAAAATTACAGATTTTTACTAAATGCATATGAAATTATATACGATAATAATAACAAAAATAAAAATTTTTAAGTTTTTGTCTGTCTGTCTGTCTGTCTGTCCGTCTGTCTGTCTGTTTGTTCTGGCTAATCTCCAAAACGGTTTACCGATTTTGACGGGATTTTCATTGGCAGATGGCTGATATCACAAGAAGTAACTTAGGCTATTTTTTTTAAGAAAAAGAATTAGGGGTCGCACAAAAAAACCCATGAAATCCAATCGTAATAAATTTCACGCGGGCGAAGTCGCGGGGAACAGCTAGTTCTATAATAAAAAAACGAATCACCTACCCTATATAATCTCGTGGGTGTTATAAGAGACGACAACGGAAAAATTAAATAGAAGATGGGCAGCATTATCTTACTGATAATATGTAATACCTTAAAACTAATAAAAAGAACAGCGATTGCCACCCTGCCCTTTAAGTGTGGCAACTACGGCAAATATTCCTTTTATGAAACAGTCAATGACAAAGGCATTAACAGTAGACTTGTGCATGAACTATAATAAATTAAAAAATAATAAAATACTTACCATTATAAAATGACTAAAAGTAATATATATTTGGCCCAAGTTAAAAGTTAAAATTGTCAAAGTATAACCTTTAATGTAAAGATTTAACAACTAAACTTTGAGATTTTTCAAAGTTGTTGAGAACATTTTGTTATCTGTGCTCTGAGGCACGGGTACTATTTAATTTTATGCTTTTAATTTTTAAGATATATAATATTACACATACATAACATATTTGATTATTTGTAAGTGATATTTCATTTTGTTTTCTATATTTTACAGCTTTTATATCGGTGATGTGATTCATTTAAAATTAATTATAGTTCGAATAAAACTAATTTTGTTTTATAGGATAGGGTGACAAACGAGATCACATTCCACCTGATGGTAAGTGGTTGCTGTGACCCATAGACATTCACATCTATCCTCAACAAATTATCAAAATGCAGATGTGTTGTCACCCGTGAGGACTAAGATAGAATGCCTTTTTTCCAGTAAAAAGGGTCTCCGGTTCTCTACACTCACCATACGAAACACAGCAGCTTTAAGCTGCTATTTTACGCTGGTTTTCTGTGAGAGCGTGGTCCTTCCCCGGTCGTATTATATATATATATATATATATATATATATATACCTATTCGTAAACAACTATGCTAATAATATAGCTGCAGCATGGCTCTACCACGCAATTTTTTTATAGGATAGGGTAACAAATGAGCACACAGTCCCCCTGATGGTAAGTGGTTGCTGTGATCCATAGACATCCACATCGATCCTCACTAAAGAATCGAAATGCAGATGCGTTGGCACCCATGAGGATAATTTACGCTGATATTCTGTGAGAGCGTGGTCCTTCCCCAGTCCGAAGACCATTTTTATACTTAAAACGAGGCATTCTATCTTAGTTCTCAGGGGTGACAACGTATTTGCATTTTGATTTTTAATCGAGGATAAAAATGTAGATGTCTATGAGCCACAGCATCCACTTACCATGAGGTAGACTGTGTGCTCGTTTGTCACCTTTATTCTATAAAAAGGGAGTTTTACTAGGGCGTAGATGTCATTTCTGTGCTCAATAACCTATCTGTGTGTTTTGTTTGCCGCCATGGATGCTAGCTGGCGCATTCATGGAAAGAAATATGTTCAGAAGTGGACTTGGTGTAAGTGGTAGGCAATTAATGTGATCTGCATAATACAAATACTTTTCAGGGCTAAAGCATATGCATACAACATTATTATCAAATCACTATCAACCTGGATCAATCAATAGTTGGACATAAGCCTCATCCAAGGAGCTTAGTCAGTTAGATTTGGCTTCACGCATTCAATTGCTACCAGTCGCCTTGTGATATACTTATGACATGTCTATTCCAACAGTTGTCATATTTATTCCAACATATGACATGTCTATTCCAACAGTTGTCACTTTTACTACAGATGTATCCAGTCCCTTCCCTCCACCTCGACGATTTAATTTTCTGCGCAGTAAAGAATAATTTGATGAATTTTTCATTATAGTGTTAAAAATAGCTTATGAGAAATAGCGTCCTTAAAATTTGCTTTTATGAAGTAATAAGTGAATATTTCAGTACTTATTTAGCGTACACAATGTGAAAATAAATAAGAAAGAGAAAATGTATGTAAAGCCGCGTGTCCACCAAAGTTTTGTTACCAACACAACAGTTGCCAACAAAACTTGTTTCCATTTTCGGCGGCAACATCAAAGGAATACGCTTGTTGCCGCTTGTTGCCAACATTTTATCTCGGTGGAGACGCTTGTTGGAAACAGTTGTAAACAGTTGGAAACATAACTGTTGTCAACATTTTTGGTGGTGATGCGGCTTAATGGTTAATGGTACATTAATATTTAATTTCTTTCGTAATATTGATTAATTGAATATCTATGTATATTTAATAGCTCTATAATATAGTTATATACCTAAGCTAGTGCTTTACTAAGGTTCATTAACTATTCAAAAGCAATATACGAGGAACTGCGTTAAGAACTAATTAAGGGTTCTTCGTATTCGGGATTTCAAACTAAGATTTTATTTAACTACGTTATGTATGTGTGTTTATATATATATATATGTTACTGAAAAACCGTGTAGGAACAGTGTGATAATATCCATTTCTATATCATCAAGTGGGTGTCGTAAGAGGGGAAAAAAATCAGGAGAGTGGCAATAGCGTCTTCCTAATAACAACTGAAAATTAAAAATAAACTGCGGTTGCCAATCCGCATGCCAGTCGTGGCAACTTTGGCAAATATCTCCCCATCGGTTAATCTATGGGGTAGGCGTATGTTTAGCAATAAACTTTTGACTGGCGGTAACAACTCACAGTTAATAATAAATTTACTTTTAACAAAGTCATTGCGGAACCTACTTTGATGTCATTGTCGTACAAAACCAAAACTAGGGCTTGGATACATTTTTTTAAATAGTATTTTATCTATTGAGGGCCAGTGCTTGACCACTACCTCACCGATGGCAAATTGTAGTGTAACCTAAGACAACAAGGCACACTGGATCATCTATCTATCATCTGGAAAATCTATTCACTGCTGCAAATCACTAGCATTATGACAAGTCGTTTCCGTTCCTTTGAATTCCGAAATATAAATTTAAAAAAAAATGAAAAGTTCTCCGTGTATTTGTAAGCCGTCACTTGTACACACTACCCCATATCATTATGTCGACTGAGGGAAATGGAATCCTGTTTCACTTCCTTCATCATTTAATTTCCCTCTGTCGATGGGTAGCAGCATTTATTCAAGTCTAAAAATATTAAAATATTAAATGTTCGAAGTTGGTTGCAATAGTGTCTTAACATTGTGTTCGTTGGTTAGTTCAATATAATGTATTTGATTCGGCATTAATATTATACACATAGCGTAGTAATCTATTAGATGCATCAGCCTAAAGAACCAATATTGTATTGGGTAAGTGAATCGAAACTGTTAGAACTATGAAATAAACTTAATTATTTATTAAACACAGAATAAAGGTGATTTACGTACGAACATTTATTTCACAATGGCGGACATTTGGCAAACTTAACAACGCTGACAGCTGCCGTACTTCAAGATGGTGTAGTAACGTACCTAGTTATGCATACATACATACATATACTTCTAAACGGTCTGTTATACTAGACATATTGACTCACAATCTTCGTGGTTATTTCATCACCACAAGTGATTGAATGCCTCATATCCTTTAATTAAACTTGCTATATACCGTTTATTCCAGAACACGGCAGTGCAGGCACTGGTGCTTAGTAGCAGAAATAAGCCTACCTAACCAGACTCACTTCTAGGTAGAAAAATAATGTAATCATCTAGTAAACCTAGTTTTCCGGAAGTAGCATAATAAATGACTTAATCGTGTCGTGTTTTCTTATAGGATGAGCACTGACCTTCAAATTACATGATACGAAAGTTCACCCCTAACCTACAGCGACAGTTAATTTGTCAACTTCTATCTTTCATCGCTAAAGGAAAACATCATGATGACAGATTTCCAGTACAAAATAGCAGCAAATACTGTTGTGTTTGGTATTTTTTTATAGGGTAGAGTGACAAACGAGCACACAGTCCACATGATGGTAAGTGTTTGCTGTGACCCATAGACATCCACATCTATCCTCAATAAAGAATCAAAATACAGATGCGTTGTCACCCTTGAGGACTAAGATGGAATGCCTGTTTTCCAGTAAAAAGAGTCTACTGTTCTCTACACTCACCATACGAAACACAGCAGTGTTAAACTGCTATTTTACGCTGGTATTCTGTGAGAGTGTGGTCTTTCCCCACTTATGGTGGGTTTAGAGAACCTGAGACCCTTTTTCTGGACACAAAGCATTCCATCTTAGTCCTCAGGGGTGACAACGCATCTGCATTTTGTTTTTAATCAAGGATATCTATGGATTACATCATCCACTTATCATCAAGTGGGCTGTGCTCGTTTATCACTCTTATTCTA